TGCAGAGACTTGGCTTAAGTTCTTCATGGATGCCAGCATACCAGCAGGGGTAGCCACAGAATATGCAATCTCATTCAGTGACAACAGGATGAGGCTGGACATGCTGCCTGATCTCAACAAGGACTACCTCAGGGATCTTAATATCACCATTTTGGGGTGATGTAATTGCTATATTGAAACATGCCAAGTCTGTCAGCCAGCAGGTAATCAATAATGAATAGATATATCATTGTTGCAGTGCAATCAGATCCACACCAGCCATTGTGCTGACTTGCATGTCACCAGCCACACCAACTGGTGATGTCCACACCAGGCATTAACCTTGCACCTGGTAACTGTATGTGAATTAGTGATCTTGGACTTACTCAACACCAGGTAAAAATGCTGTAGCATGGTACACACCAAAAGTGCATATGTTTGTGCAGTATGGTGTCCTTGATTTGTGCCGCAAGTTCATAACTGCTGACTTCATATTCACGCAGTATACTTTGCATTCAGAGTTGATACGGACCTAGTCTTTTTACTCTCCAGCAAGTGCATCATTTGTATCGCTGACTTTCACTTGCTCAGAGGTGTATAGCCCATTCCCCTGCCCACCTCCCCGCAGGAGTATACTGCCCGCAAGATGGGCCCCGGCGGGCGCGTCTCGCCCGACCCGCCGGCGGCGCGCGCCAAGCCGGCGCCGGCCTGCGTCGAGTCGCCGGCGGCGCGCATGGTGAAGCGCTTGGTGCGCAAGGAGCCGGCGTCGCAAGCCGGCCGAGCCCACCACGCGCCGCAAGCGCGCCGCCGACCTTGCTGACGACGGTGGGTGATGGCCCGTGGAACGGGCTGGCGGCGCTGTGCCGGTGTGATGAGGGCCTGGCCACTAGGTAGGGCCCGTGGAACGGGCTGGCGGCGCTGTGCCGGTTGTGATGAGGGCCTGGCCACTAGGTAGGGCCCGTGGAACGGGCTGGCGGCGCTGTGCCGGTGTGATGAGGGCCTGGCCACTAGGTAGGGCCCGTGGAACGGGCTGGCGGCGCTGTGCCGGTGTGGTGAGGGCCTGGTCACTAGGAAAGCTGACGATGGCAGTGGGTTGAGGTGGTGCTGATGGTGAGCAGCTGGTGATGGTGGCTGGCCTTAGTGAAGTCAGATCGGCTTGGTGGAGTTCGTTGGTGCATCCTCACATGCAGTGATGGCCGCTATGGGTTGCAATCATGCATCCGCTCATTTGTCATTATTTAAAGGATGGACTTTGGTGTCACACATTCATGTAGTGTAAATGGACCTGAAGGGAAAGGTATAACGATCTGCAATACACATTGTGCAATGTTTAATGCTGGAAACACCCGTCTGTCATCAGATCATAGCGCTGGTGACCAGCCGGCGCCTGCCAAGTTGCGGCTCGTGGCCTCGGGGCGTCTGGGCACAACCACAGGCCAAGTCAGTCAGTGGGTAGTCATCTAACATGCGTGACAACTCGTGTGAGTAATGAAACACAGCTAAAAATAGAAACAGGAAAAACAGATGACTCACTCCTCATGTTCGATCACGTTGGGGATATTTAAACTGTGCAGTGGCCTTTGTCGAGGCGCCGACAAATGGCGCGGGTTGCGCTTACAACATGTGTGCTAGTTGTGGTAGATGTCACTGTATCCGTCATACCCAGAAGCATCTAGTCTTGTTTCCAGCTACCGCTACTGATGATAATTTTGTACTGACCAGCGCTTCGGCCGCTCGAGGCCACTTCGCACTATGGTGCGAATGGTTTATGTCACTTCTGTAAAAACATAACGCCGACCGACCACCGTTCGCCGGACAAGGCGGTAAGTCACATCCAGCCCGACCGCAGCCAAGAGCTGTCTGTATCCCCGGCGTCGCTGGGTCCGGCCGTGCTGACCACTGTCGACCCTGACTCGGTGAATACCGATCTCGCCGCAGCTCCGGAATGGCAAAAAGACGGTATTTGACCGGCTGGGCGCCGACAGTCAGGTCACGTCCACCCACCCCGGACAGCACGCGCTTCCACATCACCGGCCTGAGCGGGCCCGCCGCCACGCAAGGTGAGTACCACCGCAACCCTGGGACCTGGGACCATAGGTGCGGGGGCCGACCGCCGCCTTCGGGCACTGGGGCACTGAATTGGGGGCGGTGACATGTCTCGGGATCTAGAGGGAAGCCGTCTGATCGTCAAACAAACTGAACCGCTACCCAACGGTTGGGAACAATCGTGCAAGACTTCGTGGGCTGAAACTGCATGCAACGTGACAGGACCTTGCTTGCGGACGAAATATTTTGTTTTGCGGTAATTTAGTTTGGAATAAAGGTAGTTTTTTGTAGCTTGTTAGGATTCGGGTTGCTGTTGGATTCAGCTCAAATAGCCGCCTGAGCCGCCTCGTTCTCTTCTACCATAGTGCATCCGATATCCAATCTCGCCATGACGACCATTGCTCGACGAAGACTGTTGATGACTCGCGAACCATCGGCGCGTGCTGCCCGATACCGTGCTCACCGCCTCTGACCGCCACCCGCGCTGCCAGCGTGCGCCACTGCACGCCGAGGCGGCGGCGGTCGGCACGCCCCGCCATCGAGTCCGACTCGTCTCTGAGCCGAGGCCGAGGCCGCGACCAGGCCCCGGCCTGACGTACCGAGGTGTGCTGAAACCGGGCGGCGCCGGCGAGCGGCCCGAGCGGCCCGACCCCGGCCGCAAACCCGCCCTAGGTCAGTGCCGACGCCAGGCCGCCTGCAGACCTGGCGCCACCGGGAGAGGTGGGGCTTCAAACTTATTGGCGGGAACTCGTGCTGACGAATCGAATGGGTTCACCTATGACTCAACCCGTGACCTGCCGAAGGTTTAGACTTTGTAGTATATGTAATGCCGAATCAAAATGACGATGACAAGTAAACAATCTCGCCCCCCCTTGGGCTACCTTTCGTGATGTCTTACTTGTTTCAAACAAGCTGATAGTTTTATTTGTTTAAAGACATTCCGTGCACAAAATGTACAGGCGCGCGGGGTTGATTCCCCATCCGCACCCACGAGACGGCACTAGTCTAAGCCCATTCTCCTTTTCTCTGCAGTGACGTCGACGTTGGCCAGTGACCGGGAGCTATCGGCCGGCTCAGCGCGCGCGCCCGCGTCGGCTCGCCGGCCGCACGAGCCTCGCTCGGCGCCGCGGCTCGCGGCCCGGCCGCCGGCGTCAAGGCGCGCATGGCCCGTCTTCAGCAGCGAGTCGACCGGCAGCTGGCGCCGGCGCGGCCAGGTGGTCTCGGCGGCGGCCCGGTCGGGCGTTGCGGCCCGACTTGGGCGGCGGCCGGGCCGGCGTGCTCAGCCGGCTGGGCGCCGTCGCCCGGTTAAGGCCGCCGCCCCGGCACCAGTCAGGGGGTGCGAGCTAGCGGACACGCGGTGCCCTTTCTGGAGGGGCTGCGGCTGGGGCAGTGTAGTTGCGCTCGTGCTGTGGTGTGAAGTGTGGTGTGGTTGGTACCGCGCGCATGCTGACCGTACGTTTGGTGACGCCCCGCTTGGAATGTGTTGGGATCGCTGGGATCCATGAAGTTCGAAGCAGACTTGGCGACGTGTGGCGATTTTGACTGATGTGTTGAAATGTGGGTGTTCACGACAGCGTTCTTTTGTGTGCGGTACTGCTGATCGTGCGTGTTGACCACGATCAGGTATTGCGACAATCGCGTGAACGGCGTACTAGTACAAACGGCTACAAACTACATCGGCATTGGCGAAAGTCGAAGACAGAACGTCGCAAGTCGGCGTATACCGCACAGTCGTCTTAAGTTAACTTACCTGCTCAGCAAAGTGCCCGACTTCACTGGAAGATGTACTTGTGTTCATTGAACTAACAAACGTGCATTCATAAGCGAATTATCATCTTGCGATGTGTTATTCGTCAAAAATGTATCTTTCAGCGACCGATACCTGGGCATGTTGTCCTGGTTGTCTTCCGAGGCGCAAAGGGTGGCTGGCTACAAATATCAGATCGTGACATACAAAATAATTCTGCTTCCCAGCTTCCGTGTCGGTAGCAAGCTTCAATTTACGTGCTATTAAAGAACGATATTATGGTTCCGCTCCGGTCCGCCTGCTGGAATCGATCCATTGCAAGGTCCAGGCAGGCTGCAAACGCACCATACCATCATCAGTGCCTCTGGTGTATTGCAACTTCGGCGAGCACGACGCCTGGCGTAGACCGTTCTCGCACAAAGTAGCATAACAAACCCGACCCAGTATGAAGACTGGACGGTCATGCCTACCACCAAACCACGTCATGAGAAAATATTCACGACGGCGAATTCTACCATGTTCCGTAGCGTATTTGGAAGACAGAATGCAACCAGTTCAGTCGCGCAATGCACTAAAAAAGAAAAAAAAAAACGCCGCAACTGCCCTCCTTACCCCCTCCTGCCGCTCTAATAGAACGCAGGCAATGCTGGTACCAGGTTAACAATCAGCGAAATACATATGTATCAACTGGCGGTAGTAATCCTTTCTACCTGAATACTCCCAGAGTATTGAGGATATGAGAGTTACTTTGATTTGGCAACCCTGTATTCTCTGCTCCTTATGTCGAGAGCACATGACCACCATGTCTATCCTAAAAGTCATGAAGTTTGTAAAAGGCTGTACACGTAATCGTGTCCGTGGTAAACGAATTACAAGACAGAATGCTTGCGGTTTGGCCTCAATGTGATAAACTGCGCAGCGGCAAGCACACTATTTTCACTGCCATCTGGCCGGAATAACAGGGACACTCCGGCCTCATTTTTCAAGATTTAATCGGAACCTTTCGAATGGCTGGATTGCTGGATCACAGCTCATTAAGTGGTGATTGACCCGGCCCCGACCCCTACCATTTGCTAGCTCAATTCCAAATCAGCCGCAACCTGGCTGGCGAAAGTTTAACGTGCCGGAATGCCCGGTATCTATTACCCTGGCAACGCCCGGCACGGTCCGTCCTGTCCTCTGACGTCAAATGAACCATTGGCGCGGCCGCTGCCACCGGCCGCAGGCCCTACCTGTCAGGGACATATAGCGTGTGCCCAAAGCGACCTGGACCCATACCGCCACGGTTGAGTGGATCGAAGGGTAGACGCTTAACCAACTGATCCATCGGGCCGGACCTTTCATACACCGTTGTATCCGACAACCGGATATCACATAAATGTAGCCTAGAGTACCGTCTATTTTCGCCCAGCTCACCCCACCGCTGCACACGCTAACCAATGCTATGCGTGTTAGGCACAACGCTGAGTGGGTTAATCTCCGCTAAACCATCTAGCTGTAGCTGCTAACAAGCCCATTCAGGTCTGCAGCTGAATTCAGCTTACCGCAAATCCCACCTAAATCATCTCATGTAAGCTATTCCTGCAGTGACACTATGCTGAGCTGACATCTGGCAGGTTCATGTACCCAAGCTGCCGAGCTCCGCACATCTCAGCTGACACTGCTGTTCAGCGGCCCAGACTATCTGTAATCCTCAGGTTAACCCCACCCAGCTGGGACCGTTGCTGAACACAGCATAACAGCCGGGTTCTCCCGGTTGGGCGCAGCTACGCTGGCATTGCTGCTGAGCTCACCCGGCTCGACAGGACTCTGCTGTTGAGCCGAGCCCATGCCAGCTGAAGCCGGCGCTCAGCCTAGCTCAGCTGGAGCTGCTGTCACCCTCAGCTCAGCTCAGCTGGAACTGCTGCTGCGCGCGGTCGTCGATCAGCTCGGCGATGGCCAGGGAGGAGGTGGCCGCCGGCGAGGGCGCGTTGCGCACGTGCAGCAGGCGGCGCCACACACCCGTCTCGCCGCTGTCGAACACAAAGTCGTCCACCAAGTTGCCGTCGGCGTCCAGCGCCTGCGCGCGTACCCCGGCCGGACCCCTGGGGGGCGTGGAGGCGGACCGTCGGACAGGGCAACGGCAGTTGGACAGCCTGTACGCCCCAGAGCACGTTCAACGACAGAGCATTCGCTTACGATAAGGTGCACGGCCATTTCTAACCAGTAAGTAGTGGCATGCCACAAGTTGTACCATGAAAGCTGGAACGACTACGGGAGACTTTGGCAACATAACTGGTCGTCGAGTCGGACACCTGGGCCCAGTTCCTCATTCAATTACGGCAAAAGCTCTTCCCATAAAGGCGACGTCATAGATACGTACCAATGAAGAACACCTTTGAACTCAAAATATGGTCAAAAGTGAAAAATATGGCCAAAATACAACCTGGTGATTCAACCCCGTGGAGATATATAGCATGCAGGAATGGCGCACTTCAAAATTATTGGCACATCAGTTATTAGCAAGTGATCTGTGGCTAACCATGATTATCGATCACATCATTTACAAGCGATCGAGACCTGCCTGTTCACCGGACTTACCAAGGCCGTCAGCAGCCCATCGACCGTTACTATGCGTTGTTATGTCAGAACCAATTACATTTAACAAACCCATCTAATTCGTCCCGAGGCCAAGTAGAGAATGGGCTTGGGCCGTGACGTCACAGGTGAGGAATATACTTCCAACGGCCAATGAACAACGAGCCTGACGACAGCTGGGCTACTTTCTGGCCGTGGCGTCATACCTAGTGATGTCGGCAGCAGTGATATCAGGCACGTACTGCCGGAGCCTGGCTAGCTGGAGCCGGATGAAAATAGAGCGCATGATCTCTCCTGTGCCATAGCCCAGGTTCCTAAGTGCGATCTTGCGGAATCCCCGGTACCTGAAAAGAAGCAACACCGTGTCAGCCTGCTGCAAGTAAGACAAGACTATCAGACTGCTGCAGGCAAGACAAGACTACGTCATCATGCTGCAAGCAAGACAAGACTACACCAGCTAACTGCAAGCAAGACAATACTATGCCAGCCCGCGGCAAGCAGGGGCGCGGTGCACCGATATTCGGAACCAACAGCTAGGCAATGAATGAACCTATTTTCGGTCGCTGGTTCCAAACACATGTACACACGAGTCGCGGTTACTCTTCGCTCTGTTGCTGATCCGTTGTAGCGTCAGCAGACCCTTGATGAGATCTGCTAAGGGGTGGATAACATCTCCCGGCGCCGGCAGCGCCACCGCGGGGCCGGCGCCGGCAGTGCCACCGCAGGGCCGGCCCGAAGCGCCGCCGCAGGGCCGGCGCCCAAGCGTCGCCGCAGGGCCGGCGCCCGAAGCGCCGCCGCAGGGCCGGCGCCCCGAAGCGCCACCGCAGGGCCGCCGCCCGAAGCGCCACCGCCCGGCCACCGCCCGAATGCCACCGCACGGCCGGCGCCCGAAGCGCCGCCGCCGCAGGGCCGGCGCCCGCAGCGCCACCGCAGGGCCGGCGCCCGAAGCGCCACCGCAGGGCCGCCGCCTGAAGCGCCACCGCCCGGCCACCGCCCGAAGCGCCACCGCACGGCCGGCGCCCGAAGCGCCGCCGCAGGGCCGGCGCCCGCTCACCGCAGAGACTCGGCAAGGTCCCGGAACGATACGTCAGCCCACCGGTAGCCCTCGCGCTTGGCAGCCAGCACGGCGTTGGGGCCGAGCCAGATGGCGCCGTCCATGCGAGGCGTGAAGTGCACACCCAGGAACGGGAAGCGCGGGTTCGGCACCTGCAGTTGAGGGGGTAGGTCAGCGGGAGACTGGCACCGGTCGCAGTTGGTCACAGGGCCGAGTGATATCCGAGATGGTGTATTCTTTAGAAATGGACACTAAACATGGGGCTAACAGCACCACATTTACAAGACTTAAGCTCTAATATCACATACACTCTTAGATAACATCAAGAATAACACTATGGGTCCATAAGGTTCATTTACATCCAAATGCTATACAATCCTCTCATGAATATCTAAGCATCTGGTCGACATCTAAATGACATGACATTAAGGCCGTCATCTGAGCGTGTCAATCATACCAGACAGACATCAAACATGAGCAGCAAACACATTGATTTCCTTGCATGAGCGCTGCGCGGGCTGTCCGTCCAGCCCAATACCGTCCGTCCGGCCCGAAAAACCTACAAGCTGTGCCACTGACCGGGTAGATATTGCCACGCACGAGATGCGCCTTCTCGGGCCGCAGCAGCAGGTACTCTCCCCGGAAGGGTACGACACGCGGCTCGGCCGGGCAGCCGGAGAGCGCAGCCAGTCGGTCGGCGTGCAGGCCGCCGCAGGTCAGCACGAACCGCGCGCGCACCGGGCTCTGGCGGAGTCAGGTGGCACAGCAGTTACCGCTCCGGCCGGCCACACAGTCTGAAGCGGCGCAGCGTATGTCAATGCGCGCGCGTTCGTACACACTGAACTTCCCTGTAGTGCAAATAGGAGGCGAATCTGATCTGAACGTATGTAGGGGACGGTACGTTTATGCAGCCTGAAAGCACGACATTTCAGAGTTTGTGCCATTTTTCAGCCGATGGCCAGAAGCATTGCAGTTATTTTGGATCTGGGAGACATGACACGGGATAGTACCAATGGGGGTAGAATTATATCGTGCAATCATGACATCATCAGAATAGAATCATCAGTGCAGGGAGAATCCTCACACTTCACACAAAGTGCCAAGTGCCGATGAAAGGAAGCAACCGCTGGGGTGTCCGCCGTTACCACAGTTACACTTGCCTGTCCCTTGCACTCGACCAGCAGCGGGTGGTCAGCGCCGGCCTCGGCCTCCCTGAAGCCGGTAACCTCTGCATTGAGCCGCACATGGCCACCATGCCTCTGGAAGTCGCTGCCATACTCCCGTGTCACTAAGCCCCAGTCCACGATTCCCGTGTGTGGCGACCAGATGGCCCGCACGCCCTGTGGACATCACACACCGTGACTGACATTTCTGGTGTATACTGGCCAGTTCAACAGCATGTCAAGCATGAACTCAAGGGTGGGGTATACCAGCAGACTTAAGTTTGACCCAAGCTGAGTCAAGAATTGGCTCATGAGCCAGTAGCTTTGGGGTGAGCTGCGACCTGAGTTGGCATGTCAGGAAAAATGCAGCTTTCAGCCAAGAGCTGAATCAAACTCTACATAAATTTCCTGAGCTGAATCATGAGCTGATCATTTGTAACAATGCTGTACCAGTGAGTCATATAGTTGAACTTCAGATATGGGTTGTTCACCTTGCAAAATGGTTCAATTTCTCGCATGCCATCAGCATCCACCATTTTCAGGTCAGGCACACCATTTTGCTGTCCTCGGATGAACAAATCCTCCAGACTTGCCACCTCACTCTGGTTAACAGCTACAATCAGCTTGCCAACCTGAAATCAAGATACATGCAATGTGACCAATAACCATAAGGCAAAGTAAATCACCATGTTTGTTGCCAGTGCAAATGCATAGTACATTCAAAGGTTTTGCACAATGGTGTGATTTCCCAAGTTCATGTGATTTGTATGCATAACATAGCCACACAAATACTATGCCACTTATTTCCTAATTATTGATATCAATATATGGATCATCATCCAATAATGTTACCTTTTTGTATGGAATGTTGTTCTTATCACAGTAGGCATATGCCATTTGCATGCCTTTCACACAAAGTTTTGCCTTAAGAGATCCTGGCTTGTAGTAAATTCCAGCATGGAGTACTCCACTGTTGTGTCCAGACTGGTGGAATGCTGCAGGCAAAACCCTGCTCAATATCACAAATTTAACTGCTAATAAAGCAAGATGATGTTATCATTCACAGTAAATGTCACATTTCTACAAAAGGAAAACTATACAAGAAGCTTGTCCAGGCCTCAATACTTTTAAAGATATTCCATTTCAAGCAAAAGCAGAGTGGAAGAATGGCTACATTTGTAGTTAAAACCAGTGACATTTTTTGTTACCAATGATTGAGGCTTACAGGTGAACAGACAGCCTGGGTTTTTTGCATGTTACCTAGCCCCTAGGGCAAAGTCAGACAAAATGCTGGCAAATGATGACTGACAAATGATGCACATGCAAACATGTTCTAAGCTGGACATATAATAATAATACCTAGTTCAGACTCCTTCTCCAGGATCAGTACTTGAAGACCTGGATGCCTCTTCTTGATTTCCAAAGCAGATGCTGCACCTACAATACCACCACCAACAACAGCAATATCTACCACATCATGATAGTCCCTTGAACTGGATGGTTTGCAGCCCAAAGAACTCAAGTAACAAGAGGGCTTTAAAAGCCTGCAGCTCTTGCTTGCTAGGTGAAACAGCATGGTAGTGGTCTGCAGGAAAAATGAGAGCAACATAAGCATCAAATTGGCACCTTTGTCAGAATTGTTAAACTACATTTATTTGATGCCATGCAGCATATCAGTAATGCTTTACTAACATGGTGTGTACACACCTTGATGATGATAAATGGCATCATGAACTACGCTGGCTACCTCATGATTTCACGTCTTGCCAGTTTAATTACACTGTGAGTTAAGGTGGTATTAAGGTAGCATCAAACATTTGGTTTTGGATCTTGGTGAAAACAGGAACCTAAACTTGTGGCTTGTCATGCAAACAAAATAACACATGTGAATTTGCACTGTGTACAAAACTAGTACTGTAGGACGTCCTTTACAGAAGTTGACAACAAAAGCCACCCACTAGCTGGTCTCAGCAACTGCGCGAGACTATTGACTATTGCAGCTTGTAATTCTGAAAGTTACCGACCACCTAAGTAAGTGCTCCCTTTCATAGGGTATGTTTACACCCACTGTACTTATGCAAGCTAAGGAGCAGATAAAACGTGAAAAGGTCGGATACTCGGAATGCTGCAGAAATGGCGCGAACAGCAGGGCAGTCTTCAACGAAGGGAACTAAGCGGCCGGTCAAACCTGTTGACCCAATCCTCCAATGGGCTTAGCCCCTTGCTTAGCCCCCATTACTGGATAATGTTTGGTGGCTTCGACTGTCTTTGATGACGTCTGACCTGACCCAAGTACACCACGTTCTGGACAGGGTAAACCAATGACTGAAGATTAATTGACGTAGCACGTCGATTGGCAGTTGTTTTGTGCCGATCGGCCTGAGGGCAAATATTGTTTGCAGCCAATTTTGGTGATTCGGAACGTTTTTGGTGGACTTCAACCTGGCACGCTAGTCATCATATTCCGGAAAAGGTAGTATATCTACTATGGCATATCGCGTTTCGAAGTTTTTACGGTAACCGGTTCCATAGGTAAGGAGCAGTGGTCGTCTGCAATTCTTTCCAATTGTTAGTATTGTTGGTGACTAACCGCCCGAAGGTCACCGTGTCTTTTTAAGGTACGTAATGGACTTCGCGACATCGAATGGGAGAGGTTTAATGTCGACCGGTGCCGTGAGCTCGGAGCATGGGTTGTCAAAATGCTGAACCGAACATTCAGTCTTCTTCCCGCCCAACCTTGGTCCATGGGCGACGCTCGTGCCCCGCTTGTTGTGATTGTTTTTTCCGCGTAATCTGAGGCAATTTTGGCTAGTACGTTGGGCAGCGTCCTCACGCGTGCGACGAAGTGTTGGGATTTTACGGTAATTGTACATTATTCTCGGAGATTATGCGGTGTTTTGTTTGTGTTTAGCATGTTTTCACGTTCGAAGGCTGTTCACTGTTGCTGAGTTGTGCTGGGCTTGGCTCATGTGATGATAAATTATTCCTGGTTATTCCATTATGCTGCGAATTTGTGTAATCTTTGCACTGTTTTGTGACTTACTGCTACTACTGGCAGCTTTGCAGCTGGATGCTTTATAATGTAACATTTCAGAGGGAATCTACAATCCAGTGGGCAGCTTGAGCACCCTGTGCCCTTTTGTTAAACATGAGCTCATTGTATATGCTGCATTGTCAGAGGTTATATCCAATATGCTGGTCAGATTTCTTTTATTTCTTTTTTTCAAACAGCCATCCATTATTTAGCTGTCAAGTGACACTTCATGTCTGCTCTCCCACATTCCAGCCAGCCAAACATGCTGGATTGATATATCTGGTAGAGAACTCTGACACATTGCCAGTACCAAGGCTTTCTATTAGCCAGTATCCAGTCCTGTTTTTATTATTAAGTCAGACCAAGTCTGGTTGCTGGTCAGCAAGAACATAGGTTACTAACTTATGGAAGTTGCATATGTAAAAAAATCTGGTATTATGGTCCATGGCATTGTTCTGGATAAAGTAAATGGTATATTTGATATTTGATTGCATATTCTTAGTCCATGGAAATTTGTTGGAAAATGTTTCATTTGCTATTCTTAAAAGGCCAGTAAAAAGTCCTTATGTTATCCCATGCTAGCCAATTTTTGGAATTAACCCTGATGTCTTAAGAGGCATGTTGAGGAGCTTAAATAAAGAAGGTGGAACCACTAGTAATGATGTAAACTGATCATTCTTTTTGTTTTAACTATGTGAAAACAGGGATGCATACCAAATAAGTTCAATGCAAAATTGACATTTCACCACTCACCAAGCACAAGTATGCATGCAAAAGGTTCAAAGATATGACTGGTCTCTGGTGATTGGACATACTGACTTATGTTTCTGCTATTTCACAGTTAACCATAATTATCAGGTGAGATATTGTGTAGCTTTGACATTATGAGATGTAATGTATGAAATGATTTTATGTTATTGATGGTATTGCTGTGATATTGGTTGAAATTTGTACCCTGTTTTGGAACTTTTGATTGACTAAGGGGTTTTGCTTAAGCCTCATTGTAATGCTAAATCATATCGATGGTACTCATTATTTTGTGCAGTGCTCAATGAGCACATAGCAATGAGCACTGCTCATCTTCAAGAGCATTTCAGTTGAGTTCAGAAGCAGATGTATGTAACATTTGCAATAAACACTTTGTGTGATATCATTCAGGTTTCAGGCAGATATATGGATGCATTTCAAGCTCATACTGTATATTATTGGAGCAATGTCTAGATACTCATGCACTGAAGCTCAGGCATTTGTTTACTGCAAGTCAATCATAAACATAAATCTGTTTGTTATGTATTTGCTGTGATACCTTCTAAAAAACATTCTAACATGTTCCACAATATTTTCAGATATTTGGTGATCATTTCAAAATAGCTGAGCCATGGTTGGGAGCAATGGTGCAAATTCAGACCTGAACATCCCTGAAAGTGTCCAGGTGAGGAAATTAACTTAGGTCTAACTCAACATGATAGTGTTGTACACTGATACCAAGGTAATTTGGTGCCCACATAATTACCTGCTACAGTTTTTTGAGTCATTGTCATGTGAAAACTTATTGTCATATTATGAAAGTACATAAGCTTTTTAAACTTATCAGGCACATTATGCATGTTTGTAATCCTTGCTTCTAAAAGCACATTGTGTGTCCAAAATCTGTTGCCAACTCATCCCCATTATTCAAGCACTGGCCTATTGCTGATTCAAGTCCTCTGCTGATGTGCACAACCACCTAGCTCACTGTGCTGCCTTCAATCTCTTGTCCCACCAGCACTGATTACAAGGTCAGGACTTTGCTTCAAAATCTGACCTGTATGTTGAAGTGATCTGGCAATAGGCAGATTCCTCCAATGAGTGTTCCCCATTGTCCGAACACAAAGAAACTGGAGGCTGAACATAGCAGTGAACAATGAGCTCCAGCAAACTGTCTTCATGTCACAGGGCATCAATCCCTGCTTCAACTTTTCCATGCAGTCACAGTGCACCTACAAACCAAAGCTCATCCCACATAGGTACTTTTTGATGCATACATGTCTGAATCATTCTCAGCCTAACATTAGGCTTTAGGAGCATCACAATGGTAGTCAAGAACTCTGCTGTTGGCTGTTTGTGCTTCATTGGGTTTCAGCAGTCAAGAGCTCTGCTGTTGGCTGTTTGTGCTTTCATTGGGTGTCAGCACACAATACAGGATTTTTAATGAAATGTTAAGGTAATTTGAAGGAATGAAATATTGGTGTTGATTGGGTGATTTTTACCAGTTCAGACTCTTAGTACAGACTCTTTTTACCAGTTCAGTGACAAAAAATCCTTGTCACCAAGCTGACTCAAATTGCTCTGTCTGGCCTGCCTTTGGCAATGCATGCTAGGGCTTGGCCCCCATACTGACCGCTCCTGCACCCGCGCCGGCAGAAGGCGGTGTCGGCCGAGAAGGCGGCCGAGAATGGCGCCAAGAAGTCGCGGCTGGACCTGCAGTCGCTGCCGACGCGCCAGTACCTCGATCAGACGGTGGTGCCGGCCCTGCAGCAGGCTCTCTCTGTGCTCGCCAAGGAGAGGTGAGCCGGCCCGGCGGCCCCCCCCCCCCCCCCAGACGGCGCTGCCCCGCTGACGATCGGAATGTGTGTTAGCTGCGATTGCGGACGTGGTGCGGGTGTGGTCGGTGGGGTGTGGTGCGGCACGATGCGGTGGGTGGGGTGCGGTGCGGTGCGGTTGGTGTGGTTTGGTGCGGTGCGGTGCGGTGCGGTGCGGTGCGGTGCGGTGCGGTGCGGTGTGTGGTGTGTGGTGTGGTGTGGTGTGCTGTGCTGTGCTGTGTGGTGCCACACAGTGTGTGGAACGGTGCGGTGCGATGCCTGTAGTTGCGTCAGGTGGTGTGTTGTGACGCTACATGCTAGGTGCGTGAGAATCAAATGCTTGCTCTCCCGAACTTTGTTGCCTTGCACCGACAACTGGTAACTGATATGTAGTGGTATGCAGTGCGGGGAGTGGGCCGTTGAGGTAAATGTACCCTTTTGGGGCTGTGAAATGGACCAGAAATCCTGCCGGATGTGGAGTGAAGGTCACTGAGAATAGAGATCCATGCTTGGGAGTTACGTTACTGGTTAGCTATTGCATGCAGTCGAAATTATTTTTTGATTATTCCGCCCAGACTCCGTGGGTCAGTACCTCCGTTCCTGGAGGAAACAACAGCAAAGCTGCCAGAACAATGGCACATCTTTGCATAGCATGTGACACAGCCCACCAGTCTGGTCGCACCCGTCCACTTACGTCAGTCTCCTGACCCGCAGGCCACCGGACCCGATCGAGTTTCTGGCCACCTTCCTGCTGAAGAACAAGGCCCAGTACGACGGCACTTCCGGCGCCGGCCCCTCCTAAGGGGCGCAGGGCCCGGCGGGCGGGGCTCGATCTCACAGTCGCCGCGTGTTATGCAAGTACAAGTGTGGCT